GCAGGCCTTGACGCGCTCGTCGCTGCCGAAGAAGAACCTGTACCGGCCGAGGCAGCCGTCGATGGCCTCGGCGAGCGCGGCCGCGGCCGGGTAGCTGACCGCGAACCCGCCGCCGCCGAAGGCCGTGCCGTACGAGTGCATCACGTCCTGCTCCACGCTCTCCGACGGCGCCCCGACATAGTACATCTCCTCGTGGTCGTACTTGCGCAGCACGGCCACCAGGTTGTCCGGGAAGAAGACGGTGTCGTCGTCGCCCATCACGAACCACCGCACCTCCTCCCGGTCCCGGGCCGTCGTGTCGTTCCCGAGCTCCGCCGCGACGGCCAGGAATGAGTCCGCCACGATCCGGGCCATCCGCGACGCCGACGCGCGGTCCCCGAACCGGGACGCGTCCGCGGAGACGCGGTACGGCGGGCACGTCGCCGCCGGCCACGGGCTCACGGGCTGCTCCTCGAGCCAGACGTGCCCGCGCATCTGGTCGGGGCGCCACCACAGCTCCGCGTAGCCGCGGCGCTGGTCCCACGTCCGCGCCGACGCGCCGATGCCGAACACGACGTGCGACAGCGTCGTCGGCGAGCGGGCCACGCGCGCGGCCGCAGGGCCGTCGGCCGCGGCCGCCGCGTCGTCACCGGGGAACTCGCCCAGATCGCCCGCGGCGCAGTCCTGGCACCTCCACAGCTGGTACAGCCCGTGCGCGCCGTCGTCCGGGAAGAAGGCGACGTAGGCGAGGAAGGCCAGTGTGGCCGTGATCAGCGTGGACAGCGACGCCGCCACGCACCGCCGGCGCTGGTCGCCGCCGCCCGCGATGCCGCCGGCGCACCCACCGCCCTCCGCGACCTTCCATTTGTGCAGCATCCGCCCCTGCCCGAGATCGCCGCCTTCCCCGCGCTACGCCAACGGCTTGGCGGGAATCTCGCGAGGCGGGGCGAAATGGCCGGCAGGGCTCGAGACCCCCGGCCGTTCCTTCCCTGCGAACAATGATGAGAGGCTGGCGGTGATGCGCCCCTTCCGAGCCCCGTTCTCGGGGACGGCGGGATCGAGGCGGCCACGAATGGGAACGGAACGTTTCTCTGCGCTGTTCTCTCTCTCCTCGAGCTGCTATATCCCAGCGGCGCGGCGCACGATCGATCTCGCCTTCGTTAAAAAACGAGGCGGCGACGGCGGCGGCGATACAGCGTATACGTCGTGGCCTCGTGGGTGCCGTGGTTTGGACGCCTCCTTCCTTCCAAATCGCTAAGGTTGAAAACGGACGGAAAAAGTCCAGTTCCCACCCGTTTCGTTTTCTAGTTTCTTCCGTCCGTTTTCGTATTCGTGGATCCTGTTACGGAAACAGAAAGAGGTTTTTCTGTCCGTTTTTGCGAGATCCTGTTTGTATCCCGAATTAATATGTATTTATTCTATTTTTCATCCCGTTTTCAATCTACGTGAGATATGTTTAGAAATTGATATGTTCATTAACCTATTAATCACAAATTATGCATGTTAACATGTTAACATATGATATACTAGTGAATATTGAACCGATAATTTCGTACGTGTATATTATTTTGTGACTTTGTTCATGTATACTCAAGAATATTTGATTATGTTATTTTAACTTATTTTTTCGGCTCTCCGTCCGTATTTATCTGTTTTCGTATTTCTGTATATCCCTATCCGTTTTTAATTCCGTTTTTTTCCTAAACCCGATCCCGTTTCCACTAAAAATATAGAAACGGAAATGGGAGAGGAGTTTTTCCACCCGTTTTCGTCCGTTTTCATCCCTACTTATCGCTAAGGTTGAAAACGGATGGAAAAAATCCCGTTCCGACCCGTTCCATTTTCTACTTTCTTCCGTCTGTTTTCGTATTTGTGGGATCCCGTTTCCGTAACGGAAATGGGAAATGGGTTTTTCCGTCCGTTTCTGCGAGATCCTGTTTTTTATCCAGAATTGACCCATATTTATTCCATTTTTCATTTCGTTTTCAATCTATGATATGTCTATAAATTGATATGTTCATAAACCTACTAATAACAAATTATGCATGTTAACATATTAACATATGGTATACTAGTGAATATTGGACCGATAATTTCGTATGTGTATATTATTTTGTGACTTTGTTTATGTATACTAAGAATATTTGATCATGTTATTCTAACTTGTTTTTTCGATTCTCCGTCCGTATTTTCTGTTTCCATATTTTTTGTATATCTCCATCCGTTTTTAATTTCGTTTTTCTCCGAACCCGATTCTATTTCCGCTAAAACTATACAAACAAAAATGGGAGAGGAGTTTTTCAGCCCTGCTTATCGCTCGCAGGTGGTGTTTAGTTTAGCTCTGGAGGACGCCGCGGCGTGGCACGACCGGAATAAAACGCGTGTTTTTAATTAACTCTCGGTTTGATAGGGTTTGGGCCGGGAACGCTTGAAAAGCAAGGCAGGTGGCGCGATAATTATTGCTTCCCCCGAGATAACCGAGCCGTTAACCCCCCCTCCCGATAAAGGCTCGACTCGACTGGACTCGAGGAACGAAGGAAACTGCTCGTCCGCTCGATCCTCTCCTCGCGGTACACGATGAGTCTGCGTACGAAACCACGACTCCCACGACCTATCGCTTTCCGTTAATCGGTTGATACTGTTTGTGCCCTCCCGCACCCGCAGGCCGCACGCCGAGTCGTGACGGAGGCCGCAGGAGCCGCATGTGTAAGAGACGGCGGGCGGTGGCCGGCTGGGCGGCCGGCCCTCCCGCCGGACGCGGCTTGCTTTTGGCGCCACCGCGCTAGGCAGATGAGCAAGCCTCCGTGTGGAGCCATGGGAAGGACCGCCTCCAGCGCCATCGCTGTCTACTTTCTCGGAGTGTTCCGGCCCTTCAGCTAGGTGGCGAGCACATGGACGAGTCACGGGTCAACAAATTAGTATAGGATCTATTTGCTTATCTTATAATCTGTTTTTTAAGCTTGTTTTTTCAACGGAAATCGTATTTTCTCTCACACTAAATCAGCCGAAAACAGTGTTTTAATTTATTTTTGCACCGAAGCAAACGGGCCTAGTCGACCGGGTGCAAGAGCGGCAGATTCAAATGTGGCTAGCATCTGTTGAGCAAACTTGGATGTACTAGTAGCGACGTACAAGGAAAGAGAAGATGCCGACATGTCGACAAGGCGCTATGTACTTCGTTGAGAAGATGCGGCATGTGGCGCTACGCCTTGGACGATTTCCAGTTTGAACAAATTGATTGATGCACCCACCGGCTCCCGGTACAAAAGTGTTTCAGATCTATTAATTTTTTCCCAGAAACGTTTTTATGCTGAATTAGAATTATTTCCTGGCATGTGGATAGCTCGTTAAACTATTGAAAGTAGAATTAGAATTAAGAGAAATCAGGTTTTGAGTGTCTAATCTTGGAATAAAGATTCCTCCATTAAAAATTACTAATATAGTGCCTAGTTACATCCATCCCTCCCCTCGATGGAAAATGTGTTTTGGAGACGACCTTACGCTCCAGTTTTCCGTTTCGCCCATATCGTCATTCCCAATCCCAGGCTGTCCCTTGCACGAGAGACAGCTTCGATTCTTCTTGCTCCCCATGTTTTCTCTTGATTGCCCTTCGTCTGCTGCCTAATGATGATTGACCAACTAGTCACATGTGTAAGCCGCACTCATCATCAGTAGAAGAATGCTACGAAGGCGATCATCATTTCGTCAATGCAAATGCTAGACTAAAGTAGTACTAGCTATGTGCAATTTCAAAAATCAGGGAATCCTGTGTGTCTGAATTTTGGCGACGTGACTATAGGGTATGCTCGGCTGCACTTTTTCCTATATGTGCGGCTGCAACATAGTTCGTAGGAAAATGTAGCAACATTATAATATCAAACTAGTTTCATTAATGCATTTATTTGTAAATTTGATATATTTATAATAAATTTGGTCAGATCTAGAGAAGTTTCCCTTACAAAAAACTTTAGGGTTGTTTGGTTTTCTCGTCTCACCTTGCCAAGCAATGTTAGCCTTGCGAGTCCACGTGAGTCAAATTGGCTCTTCCAAACTAGTAATGGAAATTTTTGCTTGGATAGGAAACAAGGCAGGCAGGCAAAGGAAGCAAACGCATGTCTATTCTAGTTTCTTGCCCAGAGAGATGAGATGTGCACGAGCAAGGAATCCAAACACCCCAAAGCAACTTATATTCTAATCTTTTTGAATCAAATGTTGGCTCTATGGCATTTCCATTGGAAACACTGGCTTGACTAAATCACGAGCAACCAGAGTATTTATAAATTCTGGGAGGGGGTGTGCCCAAACATATAGGTCACCGGGTCCCAACTCATAGCAAGCTTTGCTAAGTCATGTGCAACAGAGTTACAAGATCTAGGGATAGAAATAATGCCACTACATACGAAATGCTCTCGTAACATGAAACGAGTATCCTTGATCATCATCCCACAGGTCGCCAAATCCATAGTTGAAGATTGTAGAGCATGCTGCAGAACAGACGAATCAACCTCAACCTGAATGCGTGATATACCGTAACCGTGGCCGCTTGGAGAGCCTGTTGGCAAGCTGTAGCCTCTGTAGTGAGTGCATCTGGTGCCGCACCCAACCGTCCAGCCCCGGCCAGGGCTGCATCACCATCATGGTCGCGTACAATGAAGCCCCAGCTGCCTTGGAGCGTCTCCGGAATGAAGGAGCCGTCAGTATTGATTTTACTTATATTCTAATTTTGACAGTAGTGATCAGGGAAGTCTAATTTATATTTAAATCAGTCTTTTTCCACGCACAACCCCAGCCTGTTCGCTTGCTCGTAAACGATCGTAAATTTTCAGTCGGGAACAGTGTTTTTCTCTCACACCAAACTAGCCAGCAGTAAATAATCCACGATACGATACGGCCTCCCGAACAGGCTGCATGTGCCTATCAAACAAGACAAAACACTTCGAGTTAGCACCGCATGTCCGCACAAGTAACATAATAAACCAATTCAGCTGTATTTGTATAAACCTGGTCATTATAGTATTTTGCTACCTCATCAGTGCTGCCTCATTAGGCTTACATTCGTAGATCTCGACAACCAGAGAGTCATCTTCCTTCGAGCTCTCCACTTTGCAGCATTGCCTCCGTGGAGCCTGGGTGAAAATCGCAGTTCAAGACAAAAACAAAGGCAAGATCATTAGCATCTCAACAGTACCAACATAGTTGATGGATCATAATAATAGGGCCTTGTTTAGATTGCAAATTTTTACAACCTGGACACTGTATCACGTTTCGTTTGTATTTGACAAACTTTGTCCCATCATGGACTAACTAGGCTCAAAAGATCCATCTCGTAATTTACAACTAAACTGTGTAATTAGTTATTTTTTTTACCTACATTTAATGCTTCATGCATGTGTCCAAAAATTAATATGATGAAGAGAGAGTGAAAAAAATTGGAATTTAGAATTTGGAGGTGATCTAAACAAGGCCTAGGTTCATAACAACGAAGGAGTTTAACTTATGTCTCTGACATGTGTGCATGCATGAGCAGTTGAGCACACGTACCCTCTTCCAGACGGCAGGATCCATCTTGAGTGCGAGCACTCGGATCGTCTGCACCTTGGCGACCGCGTCGAAGCCGGTGCCGTTGCAGGCGTCGCTGCTCACCAGCTCCGGCACGTACTCCGTCAGAGTCCGGTTCTGCCTCTGCCCGGCCGACTCCTCCGTAGTGACGCGGTCCAGGTAGAACATGATGGGCCGCCGTGGCATGGCAGCACGGTAGCGGCGGGACGGCGGACGGGTAGAGGTGGACCACGTAGCCCCAGAAGACGGACACGGACAGGGTGACGGCGGCGCCCCGCGACCGCGGGCGGTAGTAACAGATGGACTGCTGCAGCGTGCGCGCCGGGTCGCGGCGTGACGCGCCGACCAGGGACCGGACCGCGTGCAACCGCTTGAGCGAGTTCGGCGAGATCGGGCGGAGCCGGTCGAGGTGGTGCAGCGACACCAGCGGCGCCACCGGGTGCGCCGTGAGCAGGCCGTACACGTGTCCTTTCAGGTCCAGCTGCAACGTAGTACGAAAGCAACGCAGCCAACAAAAGTGTGAGTGAACGAACCAATGGTCGGCGCCTGTTCTGCAACGATTTATTTTGATGATGGGTCCTCTTTCGCTCTTTGGGTTCATCCAGATCGGCTCCATTTCACTGTGCGTCCTGCTTCTACCAACCGGAAAAGCCAGTCTGAACGAACATGGCCCCGTTCGTTTCGCTGAAAAAAAAATTAAAATATTATTTCAGCTGATTTGTTGGGTGAAAAAAACGGTATTGAGTCTGAAAAAATGAGCTGATTTGTTGTACCGACGATACCTTTTTTCCACTACCTCAGCTGTCAGCACCCTTTGATCCAGAATTCCAGAAGCAAAGACCACTCTGACACGTTTGCCAACAAAACTGACATGAACATCGCAACCGCAGAGATTTTGTTGCACGTCCTGAGGTTCTCGTCTCCTTGTCTCTCTGGGCATGAGTCGTGACAAGCATCCCTCGTCGGTACGTGGCAGGCCCAGCCAGCACCAGTAGTGAACCGAGTTCACGGTGGGTGTGAGTAACCTGTTGTATTGTTGTATCTCTAACGAGGTGAACGACGTATTTACCTGATGGAAGCAGGGCTCTCTGTCCAGCGGCACGCCGAGCTCGGCGAGGCAGGACTGGACGCGGTGGTCGCTGCCGTACAGCTCGTTGTAGCGGTCAAGGCACCCGTCCATGATCCCGGCGAGCGCCGCGGCAGCCGGGAAGCTGATGGCGTACCCGCCGCCGCCGCCTAAGGCCATGGCGTACGAAGTGCGCCACGTTCTGGCCCACTCTCTCGGAGCTCGACCTGACCACGTTCTCCGGGAACAACACGGGGGCTGACAGCTCCCGATGGTCGTACCGCTAGGTTCTCTGGAAAGAACACCGTGTCATCATCGCCCATGACCAGCCACCGCGCCTCACCGCTGCCAGGAGTGCCAGCGCCCTCCTCCAGCCCCGCGGCCGTGGCGGCGGTCGCGTGATAGGCCTCGGCCACCGCCTGCGCCATCCGCGCCGCGGCTACGTGTTCCCTGCCGAACCGTCCTCGCTTTGAATGCTCTGAAGTTCTTACAATGGGGGGTGCAAGAATGGTGAAAGAGGTGGTAGAACCTATACTAGACGAGGAGCAACCCGAAGAGAAGCTCCAGGAGCCCTACTGCTATGGATGGAATGGTAGAGGATGAAGAATGTGACCATGTTCCGAAGATGGGAGCCCTGGCTGCCCTTATATTGAGTTTGGGACCAGGGCTCGTTACAAAGAGGAGGTTCCCCAACCGAAGGGTTGAGAGCCTGAGGGAGGTCCTAGCTGACTTGGCTTGCAAGCTACGTCGTCTTCTAATGCTTGCCCGGGTGTGGCTATCGTCATAGCCTTGTGGCCACATCGCGGCAGGGTCTGACGTGGTGCTTCTGTGCTGGCCGTGGCAGCATTGTAGCCATGGTGATGGCTCGTCAGCTGTCCTGTGCAACGCGGTATCCGTCATGGTCTTCACAGTCATGTCTAGGTTTCCCGAGGCGTCGTACCCGTAGTAGGTGGCCGCCCTGGGTTGTTGTTCACCAAGTCGCTCCGTGGGGCTAAGGGCCACGACCCCAATCGTTGGGGTTGGGGCACTCCGCCAGCTAGGAAGGTCTCTAGGTCGAGACTCTTGTCATGAATCCCATCCCGTAGTGGGTGGAATTGTACACGCGTCCTGTCGGTCCGTATTCGGACGATGGGTTTCCTACCCGTTTCCACCCTGTCTTTGAGGATCACTGGAACGCCTAGAGGGGGTTGATTAGGCCTATAAAAATTCAACTTAAACCAAAGTCAAATTCACCCGCGGCACTGCTGCACCTGGAGGAGAGATTAGTTCACAGTTCAAAATCTACCCAACGAAATTTAGATTAGGTAAATTTCTTAACTTCCTGCAGAGTAGTAGATCACAGATCGACAGCTGAAAGTGGTGGGAACACCACACATAATTAGATCAGCCTCAAACTCTAGAGATCACATCAACAACAATAAGAACACAAGTGTAGCAACACAAGCACAAGATGACACAAGGATTTATTCCGTGATTTAGCTCGCCACCAAGGCTTGCCTATGTCCACGTTGTTGAAGTATACCACTAAGGCTTAGGGATTTACAACCCCACCTCGTTCTCAAGTCAAGAGAATGAACTCTTGAGATGATGAGTGATTTTAATCGCTGCAAGAGGTGGTTACAAACCTCCTGGTGCTACCACAAACTTGGCAAGCTCACCGAGCAACGCTCTAGCCGGCTAGGGGCCAATCTCCAAGAGTAACAAACACAACCGTTGGCTAAGACGTGAACCAAGTGCTCTTTAGAGTTTAGAAATCAATGGAGCTGCTCTCTATTCGAGTTTTGGACCATTTTCCCTCAAAAATTGATGGGGAAATCAATGGATTTGTTTAGGGGCTTGAGGTCAACAATGTAGTGAGAGAGAGAGAGAGCCGACTCCATTTTGGCGTGCTGAAGTGAGGAAGAAGAGAGTCAGTTGGTTGCCATTGGAAAGGAAGGGAAAAGCTATATATACCCCCAGCCCCCAACGGTCACTTTAAATCACAGATAGCTGTTGGCGAGGAAAGGGAAAGGTATATATACCCCATCCCTCAACGGACACTGCACCCAAGAGGTCGGGTGAGACAAGGATGCGACCAAAGGGTTGGGCGAGCCGGAGCCCACGCCCGCGCCCAAGGGGTCGGGTGAGCCGGAGCTCACACCCAAGGGGGTCAGGCGAGTCGAGCTCGCACTATGCAAGACAACAAGGGTAATAGTAAAGTGTAGACTATCTTGGCTGTGAATCTAAGGATGCTTGTGGTTGTTTGAGCACTTTGTAGCACATATTAGCTTAAGCATTGTGCCTCCCTTTATAGTACGGCTTTTCCTATACTCAAATTCAATATATTAAAGAATTTAAACCTCCTTTGAGTTTGAAGCCATCTACATTTGTAATTGGAGACTCCTCCGTTCCATGTAGCATCCTCGAATATAAATTTCCTGCTTGTCATCTTGATAAATCTCATTAGTTTTCTAATTGCGTTGTCATTATCACCAAAACCCATAATTAAGGCTTGATTGCACTTTCAATCTCCCCCTTTTTTGGTGATTGATGACAACCCAATTAGAGCTTATAAAAGATATGAAATAAATACTGAGACTTTCGAGCCATGGGTGTAGAGCCTCCCCCTAAGTATGTGAATAGAGAATTGAATTATCAATTTAGCATAAGAAGCCAAGATTCATATTTTAGTGAAAGTGATGGGGCTCCCCTACATCCATGATAGTTTATGCACACATGTCTTTGCTACTGCAGCTGAATACGGCACTGCCGCACCTGATTGTATGAGCAAGATAGAGTCAAGCACCACACAGCTAGCTCAAATAAAAAAATATGCAACCTAGCACAATAAGATGACTTCTAATCCACACAAACGATACATGTCCATATCCGATACACAAAGAGTCAAATAGTAGCATTATTTCATAATTTAGAGTTTTGAGAGACTCTCAAACTTTCCACCTAGTGAAGACTAACATTCATCGAATAGGACATGAAGCGCAACTGCTGACCATGGCGTCGAAAAGTTAAAAGTTGTTGACCCCTCCAATTTTCTTCCCCTTTGGCATAAAGCACCAAAAAGAGAAGAAGAGAAGAAAGATCAACACCTACTCGTCATCCTCTTGGATGGTGTCCCAATCAATATCATCCCCACTAGCAGCTCCACTAGCACCTGCAACGTCCTCCTCTCCACCATCATCGTCGTCATCGTCGGAGAAGGAGGAAGAAGAAGACACCACCGCCCTCTCTTGGCGATGAGTGGTTGAAGTGTGGCACTCACGCCTGGTGCTCCTCCTCATGGACTACAAGGTAGACCTCAAACTCGTGTGAGGATCAAGCTCTGGCTACTCCTGCTCCTCCTCCTCATCCTCTAAATCTATCCCAGAAAGGCTAGGGAGGTCATCAAACCACAGTGGTGACCAAACTAGAGAAAGAGGTGGCAGCCCTGCACGCTCTCTAGCCTCCCCGTTGGCTTCACGGTTCTCCAACCGGTCCTGATATGCGGTCCTCGTTGCATAGGTGCATGTGGTGAAAATAGCCTTGATCCACTTCCCAAACTTCTCCATCTTCTTTTCCTTGCGAGGCCTAGAGCGGGATGACTCAGGCACATCCACAACTGATGGAGAGCGTCTCACTGCCCTGCTAGCACCTACTCCTTGGGTCCTCTCAGTCTTGTAGACGGTGTGAAGACCATCTTTCTCAAATCTATAGCCAGTGACCCTCTTAATCCTAAACATGAGATATGGGGCATAGGGTATCCCCTTTCTCCCATCCTCCATGGCGTTCCTCAGCTCATGCCACATGAAGCGAGGGACATTAAACCTGTCACCTTTAGGAGCAAATGTAGCAAGCATATTCCTCACATATCCATTAAGATTAGAAGCTACTCCATCCTTGGGATTGATAGTGTGCCTGATCAAATTGTTCAGAATATAATAATAGCTCTTCAGACCACTAACCTTCTCATCTGCACTTCTCCTATCAATCCACATATAGGCAATATCACGTATCTCAGCTCTAGCCTCATCATGAATGTAAGTGAAACCCCGTTCCTCCTCTCTAATACCAAGGATCTAGCTAAAAGTCACAAAATCAACTCTATAATGTCGTCCCTCAGTCATCTAGTGAATCTCATCAGTGTAGATGCTATAGAAGAAAGTGGCATGGAACTGGGCAAGCACTTCTTTATTCCAATTATATCTAAAACTCATAATATTAGTGAGGCCAAACAACTCATAAGCCTTGATCACCTTATTGAACTCAGGCTCATTCTTTCCCTTCATCTCCTCCCAATCAACATACTACATCTTGACAACCTTGGACTTCTTGGAGTTGAAGTTCACAGATGCATAGAAGTTGGAATGAAACTCATTCCAAAACCTATAGGCAATCCCCAAATCCTTTGGCTGCTCATAAGGATTGTTTTCCCATGCTTCTTCCACCGTCTTTAGCTTTCCCGCATAATTGAGTACGGGATGAGGACGTGTGTCAACAGGATGCCTCATAACTACATCCTCAGAATACTCTCTATTGCAGCTCTTGTCAAACTCCTTAAGATAAGGTGGAGTATCTGGGCAAGCACCTAGAGGAATGGTGTGGCCAACCCTCTCTAGGTTCTCCTCATCCTAGATCATCTGATCTCTCCTCCCATGTCTCTGGCAACATCTCTGCATGTTGCACTACTGCTTCCCCCTATGGTCCTACCACGACCATGATGAGGCATCTTCTTATCATGAGGCTCTGCCATCTTCCTCTTCCCCCTCTAGTCATCATCACCTCTAGAAGCCATCTATGCAAACAAATATAGGTCCAAATGAGAAACTATACATAAGGGGTATAGAAGAACACTTGTAAAACACTCTGGATAGATGAGATGATTCAAATCTTGGGTTAGGAAAGCACCCTAAACCAATCTAGTCAGAGGGTATGGCACTGCCGCACCCTAGGAGCGGCACTGCAACACCTAGTGCTTCACCTCTCCCACGATTCATTTCTTCTTAACTATTCAGGTTATTTCTCAACCATTCTCCCAAACCACTAGACAATCTCAGAATAAGTAAACCTAAACAAATACATGGAGTTGTCTACAATGTAGGTAAAGTAGCTACATATTTAAGATAGAAATACATCTGGAGCACAAATCCAACCAAAATAGAGTCGTCGATGGAACAACATCTGTATTTACATATTTATCCTGTTGA